AGCGTGTGGGCCAGCATTTATTGCCCGTCCCTAATTACCCTGGAGAAGGTGGTGATGAGCTGCCTTCTTGAAACACTGATAACACAGTGTGGAGCTGGAGGAACACAGCAGGCCAGGCAGCGTCACAGGAGCAGGAAAGTTGCCATTTTGGGTCGGGACCCTTCTTCAGAAATGACCCGACCCGAAACGTCAGCTTTCCTGTTCCTCTGATGCTGCCTGGCCTGCTGTGTTCTTCCAGCTCCACACTATGTTATCTCTGACTCCAGCATCGGCAGTTCCTACTATCTCTTCTTGAAACACTGGAGTCCATGTGCTGTAGATACCATTAGGGAGGGAGTTCCAGGATTTTGATCCAGGGACACTGAAGGAACGGCTATAAATTACCAAGTCAGCATAGTGAGTGGCTCGGACAGGAACATTCAGAAAATTGCAGCAGCCCATTAACACGGAGCAAGCTCCCACAAACAGCAACAAAATAATGACCATATTCGCCAGTTTTTACAACATTGCTAAACATTGGCCTCCAAGTCAGTGGAGACGACTCCTGATTTCTCCTTTGAACAAATACAATGGAATATTTTGATGCTGGGAAGGTCAGGTGTAAACAGTAAACACAAGACATGAACGTGCAGTTTGAGAATTTGTTCAGACTTACAGTACATGATCAAACAGTGGGTGGAGAGCCAGAGAGGAAAAAAAATTGCTAAATTTCAGATGGCTTCTTTATTGGCAGCAGATGTGTGGAACGTTCCTTGTGGCTATTAGATTTAACTAGCCTGTCAATCACACTCATTGTGAAGGGGGGTTACAGTGTAAATACAGCTGGAACAGCCATTATTCGCTGAATAACCACCAATGGTAAAGGATTTTCTTTTCTTCTTTGCAACATTTCAGAGAATTAAGCAGAAAGGATGAGGCCATTCAGCCCTTTGTGCCAGTACTGGATCTTTTCAGAAGCTAGCCGATCAATCTGACACTCCCATTCTTCGCCCATAGTGCCCAGTGAGCCAGTGCCCAGAGGAGCAGCATTTAGCACAGACACATCCAGACCTTTGGAGAGCAGTCACTGAGTGGTACAGTTCCTCTATCAGAAGTGGGATTGGCCTGGGGTCTGAGTATTGCACTCTCCAAAACCGAGCTCAGCTTTCCTGCAAATCACACAAGGAGAGAAACTCGGGAGCTGGAAACTGACAGTGTAAATCACAGGCTGCTTGTACCATGGCAACAGCAGGGAGACTTCCTCTCTAATTGCTGGGTTTGAGCTATCCTGTGACTGTCATCTCTGAGCCAGTCACATCCAGGGTGTGACTTAAAGGCTGCTCAGCTAATTTAGGCGATGGAACAGACCATCTGTTTCACATCAACCACGTTCCTGGAATCTTGTTGGTGGAAATACATTTATAACAAACAAAAAAAAGTGCATTTATATAGCACCTTTCACAAACTCAGGACATCTCGAAGCACCTTGCAATCAATGAAGCATGGTTGCTGTTGCAAGTGGCAACCCATGTGCACATAGCAAGATTCCACAGTGTGGCAGTGACCAGATAATCTGTCTTTGTTTCAGTGGTTTTGGCTAAAGGATAAATGTTAGTCGGGATAGTAGGGAGATTTTCCATTTTTTTAAATGAAATATTAACATGGGTTCTTTTACATCCACTCGCAGGCAGGACCTTAGTTTAAGGTCCCATCAAAAAGATGGTACCTCAGACAGTATAGCACCCTTACAAAGTACTGCAGCCTGGGGAGTTTCAACATAAACTATATTCTCAGAATCTCGAGACTGGGACTTGTACCCACAAACTCCGGATCTCTGGGACTGACGTGGTATCAACTGACTCATGGGTGACAACACTTAAGCGTTTTTAAGCTAAATTAAAGAGAGGCACAGAGAGACTGCACTGTTTCCTTTATGTTGTTCTCGCTTCCTGTGAGAAACACTCTCAGCTCCTGCTTCAGTGGAACAGTCTGAATACTGCACCACCTTGAAAACAGAAGGGAGATTATCTCTGCTGGGGCAGATAGGAATGGGCTGACCTAACCAGTATCGCCCACTTCCCATGAACGAGTTGGTAATAAACAGGAAAACTGTACTTTACTCAACTGCCTCATCAGTGCTTTCCTGAGTGTCACTTCACCCAACGTTACACCCAACATTATACCCAACATTCTATCCAACATTATAGCCAACATTATACCTAACATTATACCCAACATTATACCCAACATCACACCCAACAT